CAATGGCGCTGACAGACAAGAATGAACCGGTGTAGCTGAACCAGATTGCACTGTCTATTCAAAGTTTTACGAAAATACATCTGTCAAGATATTGTAGTCTGGATCCAAATGGTGAATCAACCCTGGCATCCCTTAAGCCTCATCCCTAGGGTGGCAAAAACCAAGCTAAAGATAAGATGTTTTCTTAAATTAGCATGTAAACAAGATAAAACTAGAGACCATCTTGTGATGGGATCAAACCAGTTGCCAAATCGGACAAGGAGCGTAAAGCGGGGGGGCCAATGGCCCCTTCCCTACTTCCTACCACCTACGTCCGGTGTCCTCGCTTGGATCATACCAATCGAACTCGGCCTTCATTTTGATCTCAAGTACACACCTGTAAAGCTTTGTGATTGTCCACAGACAGACAGACAGACATTTACTCAAAAACCCTTCTGTTGTAGTTCCCTCTACAGTCGCTGTCGCATCTGGTAATTATCATGTTAGCATGTTGAGATTATGAACATTAAAAGCACAAGCCCAAACAACAGTTTAGGCTGACGAAATACAAACACTGATGTAACATAGAGTGGGTCTGATAGGCTGTTTCTGAAGATGACCTAAAATGGCCAGTACACAGAGGATAAGTCCATGTTCGCATAGCAACAAGAAACATTCATGTGTATTACAGCTTGCATTTACACCATCTGAGAGCTCAGTGGTTGGTCTGTGCCTTTACCAAATTTGCATTGTGGTGTGAGTCCTCCATGTTTTCCAAGGAGCTGGAGGAAGCTGTACTGGGGGAAAAGGTCTTTGAGTTGCTCTACTTGTCTGTGGCCACCATGACCATGACCAGGATAAGTGACTCGAGAATCTGAACAGATGAACAGAAGGATGGCAAGATAGACGTATGGTTGATAATAATAATCTAGGAGGCAGTCGAGTGATGTGGCTCTGTCTGCCGATGGGAGGAACAGGCTGGCCCGTGCCACATAAAGTAACTGCTGATATCAGTAATAAAAACACTGTAACCACCGGCCGGTTCGGCCTGGAATGGATTGGCGGTTCGGGAGTCTTAGCTAACTTCCCAATTGGCGAATATTGCGAATTTGCGCTTGTTAAACTGTGTTTAAGAACAGTTAATGAGCTCATTGACTTACTAGCCTCCTAAATGATTTTATACACAAGCCAAAACCAAATCTGAGTGTACAAATGCTTCATTAATAAGGGCTGTGTTATCTCAATATAAAATGAATACTCCCCTCTGAGTATCCACCTTAACATTTGCAGGACAAGATGTTCTTTAGAAAAAATTCCTTCCAACAGTTCTGCCCTGGGTTGCGTAACATTCTTTAAAAAACCCTCTTGTATGACCCGTTAACAGTCATTTCTGAGATTCCCCAAAGGTAAACAATCATGCTCAGCATCTTTCCAGTGAAGTTGGCCTTTCTCCTACATATACACAACATCAGCTATCTGTACAAAACAGGGTAAATGTTTTCATTAAGCTAAAGGCCTCCCTTCGTCCCCGTTTCCTCTGCTGTCAAGAGGTGTGCGGGATGGGGGTTGATTAGATAGAGGGAAGCACGCACATTGGGGCCCACTCATCCTGTGGAGCCTTTTCAGTGTGGTGCAGTGACGGCTTGAGACTACACTGTTGTGTTGAAATTAATGTAACCTGATTTACCATTGCACTCCTAAGTAAGGGGGTTAACTATAGGTCTTCCATGAGAAGCTCATGCACTAATACTGCAACCAAGCACTGTGAGGAATGCAACATCTCTTTGGTTTGGAGGTACTGCCACAATTTTCAAATACTACTTTCATGCTTATACTGTATATTTTATACATCAATATTGTCCCTGTGTGAGTGAAGAAAATGGGTTGAGGGAGTCTGCTTATCTTTGCTGTATCTTCCCTTGGCTTATTGATGGAGGATCAAATGAAAGCTAGAAGGTTTAATGTAACAAGAACACCACTTGGCACTGCAGCAGGTACTGTATATACTAAAGAGCCAGTAATCAGTCTATAAAGTCTGTTTGTGGCAGATAAACATACTGCAGAGACTTCAAATTGAAAATGTGTTTGAATTTTAGGATGATACATTGTTACTTTAAATATATTGATTAAAGCCTCTTTAATGAAGCACATATATCTTGGCCATAAGGGGTTAGGGTTAGGGTTCACATGTTGCGTCTAAAAACGAGTAAAAAACGCCAGCCTCTTCCATCGTTTTATCTAAGATGCCATTTACCAGACACTAGTAAGACAGATGGTAAAGCTCTGGGTAGCCCTGCCCTAAAAGGATTAACATCTCTTCAATACAGGTATTATATTCGAAAGAAAGAAGAGATATCTGCCAGCTGTGACTGGTTGTTCCTTGTCACATGACATGCGGTGTCTGCTGCAGAGTTTAACTATTTTATCTTCGGGTGCAACCCAAAATAGGCACTTGGGAGCACTTGTGCTCCTCGACAGCGGTTGCTGTCGCGTCATTGGAAGCCAGAAATGGACTTGAAGGAAGAAAAATGTTGCATGTGAACAGACATATCCCATACACTAGTATGGCAGTACTATGACAGTAGTATGTCAGACAGCAGTGTTTTTTGATAAGGGTGTGCATTCTTGTTAAAGGCACTCAACAAAATTTTAGGGCAACTGTTGTTGTTCAGTCTGAAGTAGCACATGTTGGAATATTTTATGCCATTCAATCCTGATGCTCTAATCCTCCTCCAGAATACATTCATATCCGTGCGTAAAGGAAAAACTCTCCTGCTCCAGTCAAAAAGTGTAAATGAGAGAACAATGTAATAGCCCCCATGTTGCGCAGTGTATATATGTATCACTGCATTTGAGGCTAAGTGCAGGCGACAGCACCCTGAAGCAGCTTTCCCTTTACCAGTTACCAGCCAGTGGCGAGCAGCCTTACATATTCAGGTCACGGAAGGGGGAGACAAGCCGCCAGCCAGCAGGGGAAAAGACATGAAATGTTTGTTCACATTGAATTACAGGAAAATGTGTGCCTCAAACATTTTTGCTCAGGTGACTTGTTGTGGTTTGGTTCTGAGCTGCCACATGCTGAAAAGTTGGATAAGGGTCATAAGGGGTCAGCTCAGGCTGGTTGGAGGCAGTGGAGCAGAAGAAAATGAGTGGTACATGGAGTTATAATTGGACAAAATGGGATACAGAGGGGGCTGGTGGTGGAAACGTGTCTTCAGCCGTGTGTTGTTCTACAGACTACAGTCAGAGCGTTGTGAATGAACTTTGGATGAACTCAGAGCAGCTTAGGAAATGACAATGTGAACATATTCTTGTGGAGCGACGCCTCGGCATTAAACAAGAACTGTCCACTGCTCTAGTGGACTTCTTTGTTTTAAAGCATGTACTGAAAAAAAAAAGACAATGACAACAAATCATTAGGGTCTATTTGTGAACAGTTTCTGGACCATGTGGATGGAATGTAATGGTAATATTGTGCAATGACAAAATATGCAACTTTTGCATATTCTAACAGCCCTCCATTTACACATCTTATAATTTAATTAATGAATAATATAACACCATAAATATTCCATGGGGGCCGCACTTTGGAAATTAATAATGCACAGCATTTAATTTGTTACATCAACAGCCTCAATGATGTATTTTAATGTAACCATTAAAAAGTCCCACACCTTGCTTTTGAATGTATTATATTACGTCCAAATCAGGGAGAGGAAATTCAATGAGGTACGGCACTCAACAGGCGTATAAGAGTGGCTCCAAAAGATATGTTACAATATAAAACAAAGTATTCAAAAATCACAACGGATGGTCACCCCATGAGTCAAACAATAAAATGTTTGCCTGTGTTTTACTCGAAAATATAATGAATCTCATGCTGTGACAGGAGTATATTTGTTAAGTCTAACCTTCATTTATTCATTTAAACCACAATATTGTAATATGAGAACTTCTGCCATGATACACATATTGAATTGTCACCCACCTACACCATGGCCAATAATTAGTTTTAAGCTCCTCAAAAAGTCACGATGAGGAGAGTTAAATAAAAGGGGACAATAAATGAGCATCAGAGACACATTTCCACTAAATATAACACCACGTCATATTCAACTTATAAAGTATATTCAACAACTTCTATGGTAACCTTTTTGAAACTCTGTGAGGTCGCTGCAGCATTGAGTGATAATATATACTTTATATAAAAATATGTAACTTATAAGTGCTTAAATATGTACTTGTATCTCAGGGATTTTTCTCTACTCTGCAACATTTCAATAATAAGGTGTCCAGCCCTATACTATACACGTCAAAAGATGCTGCTGTTCTGAACATGTATCCTCAGTCACAGTCTCCTCACTACCAATGGGATTGGGGATTTGACGGTCACTGTGGGGATTCTTTGCCAGTGTGGCAGATGTTTCTCAGTACAAGGCTCCACCACAGAGCCACAGAAGTGTCAAGTCAGTTACATTGTGTTCTTAAGATTTGGCAGACTTGACTTCGACACTAAACTCATATTGTATACAGTCAGTGAGACAGGCACGAAGGAAATTAAATGTTTGTAGGTCTCGAATGCTAGGTCTCTGAGTGGCATTATGACGAGTAGTGAAATGATAAGGTGTGCGATTAATTAACTGGCACGGTGTAGTACTGAGATGTAAAGCAGCTGTGCACCCTTGATTGTCACTTGTGAAGTGAAGATTTGAATCACTAGCAATTTAATTCACTGGGGCTGGACCAACCTTCCAGCCTGGTTTGCTAAAAACAACGTTCCCATGCAATGACACCGTATTGTCAATTAATTTATTCGAGAGGACACGTTGTTTTTACATACATAGGCCTTTCACAAATGCGTTTAAATTCATAGTCTGGGTAGGAAGGAGCATGGGTTGGATGGGGAGGTCACCCAGGAGGAAGCTGTTCCTGTCCCTTGCGAAACCAAAAGTCAACATTAACTTAATGTTCTTTCAGCTGGTGCTGTGCTGTACTGTATTAGTATGCAGATACACACAAGATTGTAATCTAATTGTTTAATTTAGTGAAATAATAAAAAACACACATTGTACGTATACATATGTATATATACACATGTATATACGTATATATATAGAACAACCAGTTACAATCAAACAGTGAGGAGTCAATGTGTCAGGACTACCAAAGTTAAATACAGTACAGTAAAACTACACACATTGCCCTTGATGCTTTTGTTGCACTTGTACAACATATCACCAAAAGTGTCACAGGTGACGTTACAAACCCTTTGGAGAGCCATATGAAAATATATCATACATAAAATACTGTACACAACCAAAATAATACTTATATGAGTTAATACATTTGACAGAAGCCTCTAGCTTTTGCACATTTGTGATTAAATTGCTGTAGCTTCATAAAAGATTATGATGCATCCACTTCACAATACATGACTTGGTTTATGAAGACTTCATTGAACATGAATTGCTTGCTGCAAATCAGAACTGTGACAGGCAGAAATGTTATCTGCATAGTTTATGATTCAATGGAGTAACTGTCCTGCAGATCTGACATAAAAAAAGTATAAACTGTATGCGTGACAATGACACCTGTTGCTAAGAATACTGAGAATATATTCCTGTGTCTGAAATGAACTCTTTGCCTCGAACATTGGAAGCCAAGATTACTCCTTTTCCACAGGAGAAAATAATATATACATTTCTTGAAAATATGTCTCTACCTGTTGTGTGTGGACTCAAATGCTGTAAGTCATCACAGTCGTATTAATGACAAGAATATTTGAAACATTCAAAATTATTGTAAAACAAAATGACCCATCAAAGACAAAAGCAACTGACACAGGATTGTGAATTTTTTTGTTTTAAATACAGATTTAAATAGTAAAGAAAACACGCCCTATGGAACGGTGAATGTTTCAGGAAACATTTATGTCTGTTCTGGTAAATATGGCATGAACATCTTACACAGAACGCAGTGATACTTTTCTTTTTCACTTTTCAAATACAGGCAAAATAGAAAGGTGGACAGACTCCACCGAGGATGATGACAAATAATATGGGCAGACAGATACGAGTAGCTTGTTGCAAGCTATTTCACACCCTCCCTTTTTTTAAAACATACACGTAGAACAAACAACTTCTGTATCAACATCCCACACACTGTCACATAAAGACAGTCGCTTCGTGGTTGAATATGCGTCAGAGTATAAGGTACTCATAAATACTGTATATATAAATCATGCATACACACACACACACTCTCATATGTTCAACTTCCCCTCTTCTCAGACACGCTAGATTTACAAAAAAATATTACATCGGATGACACACACCCTGCTTTAGCTAAATGCTTTACAAAGAATGGTTGTTGCAGTACTATTTATTTTTTTGCACTGTTTCTTGTGAGACCTGATAATATCATTACCTCTGACTAAGGCGTGTGTTCAGACTGACATTAGCACTACGAAAACGCATCTCCCTCATTTATTTCAATGAGGTCAGCTCGCCCTGGCAAAAAAAGCCAAACCTGACGCAATAAAATCCAGCAACATCTGGAGACACATTGGCCAAAAAGTGTATTTCAGGAATGTCTACTGCACACCTCAAAATCAGAGGAGACAGAGGATGCAATTAGTTCCACCATGGTCTACAACTCAGAGTTGTACAATATTTCCTCACGGTGTTATAATTCCCTAGTGTCTTGGTGTTTTGATAAGCCTTGAAGAACGGGTTTGGATTTTGTCCAATCTATTTTAACACAAAACTCACATGTAAGGCTGTTCTCATACACTGTTTGAAGCTATACCTACGACAAGTAATGCATAATAATGTGTATATAACCCACCTAATCAATTCGTCATGTGACTTTCAAACTTAAGCAACCCCACTTCTGTAGTTATTTTATCCCAAACCCCGATCTTTTCCTAAACCTGACCAAGTAGTTTTGTCGCCTAAACACCGTAGGGGATTGTGCACTGATTTGTGCACAGTTTGGCTGTACATTCGTAGAAAAACACACAAAAAGAACCTCTCGTAAAATATCATATGAACCGTTGTATGCTAGGATATGTTGCACATTAATACTGAAAGAGTTGTCGGTTAGCAAGTAGCTAGCAGGTACAAACTCACTTGATTTGGTTAACAACATTAGCGTCAGGTGAACTTTTTCAGTTTCTGCACCAGGGACTGTGGATTTCGTCCCAACAGTGTAGTTGCACTATGACGGGATTGATTCACGGCCAATACGAACAGAGGGAAATAATTCAGCAACCAATAACCCTTTGAATAGTATGCAAGTATTGTGTTAAAATGGACCTGGAAAATCCAAACCTTTTCTTTAAAAGTCATGGATGTATCACTCAAACTGGCATTGCTGGATCATATTTGACTACAGTGCTGTTTTAAGTCCGAACACCCGGTAATGCTTATATAGTGGTTATATCTAAAGAATCTCAGAGGAGTAAGGCTAAAGAGAGCAGTGAAGGGGAATGCGATACCTATTTTGTTGGAAGCCAAGTCTTCTAACTTCACTGTTACATTCAGGTGTAATGAGTGTATATTGGAGTACATGTGATTTAAAGATGGCTTCTTGTGATAATATTGTGTTTACAAGTTACATTACAACCTATCATGTGGTTTACAGGATGCACAGGTCACTAAGGATCACTTTAAACACGCTGAAATATTAGCATGATAACAATTTCTAGCTAACGGTATGATTCCGTAAATCATCTGCATTAACTGCACACGTAGAAACAAACACTGAAACAAACAAGAAATACATAGAACATTTACATGAAGCTGGCAACAAGTCGTATTCGACTAATTTTGAAAACATGTAGCATATCAACTTCAATAAATACTGTATGGTATTTATTACTTCTTCATTCAATAAACAATTATACGTTCAGATAAATTAAGTTTAACATGTGAAAGATATAATATCGCTGTAATATATTGTTATGCACCTGTTAGACGTCCTATCTTCGTTCTAATTCTATTTTAAAATAAAATAAATGAGGCAAGCAAGATTTCTTGGTTTGGCACTAACCATGTCAACATTTTTTTACAGTGTAACCAAAGGCTTTTTTGTGCACAACATGACCCCAAAAGGACAGTCAAGCAGTTAATATGAATCCATTTAAAAACAATTTTGTCAGGCAGAAAAGGTCGCAACAATATTGTGATTATCAGAGTGCATCTTAGGTCAAGTGAAGCAGTTCAGTGTCAAATTGTAGACAAAACACAGCGCAGGAATAGTTGTATCAAGCTGTACAACCGTACAGTACTGTTAAATGGTCTGTGTCGGTGTGACAGAGAGGTGACGATTTCCTTCAGGTGGCTGGGAGCCTGGGTATACAATCCATATCCTCACTCATTGCTTCCTATATTGTATGTAAAGGAAGAGGTGAGTATCCCTGGTTGACACTGCGCTCCAAACATGCTGCAGTTTTTAAGGAGGGGAATGGGGGGGGGCTTGGAAGGAGCGTTGTGGTCAGGCGAAAGGGCTGTCTGTCTTTAAGATAGAGGCGTCGGCGTCGTGGCAGCCCTTGCCGTTCATGTGTTCTGTGTGGCTGTCGATGCTGTAGCAACCCTGTACCTCTGTGATGGAGGAAGCTGTGTAGGAGGCTGAACGCATGGCATCCGAGTGGTTTCCTACGCTGCTTCCAAACTGGATATTATACTGGTTCCAGTGCCTCCTCAAAACCGCTTGGACCTACCCAGAGAAATCACATATTAATGGGACCGCTAATGAATCATTAGCTAAGACATGCTTTATGCATTTAAAGTAAAAGTGCAACATTAAGGGAAATACACTTAACACACGTATTTGCATTCTCTTCCAGAATTACAAAAAGATCAATATGAGTTTAATTTATGTATGTTGTATGGACCTACACCGTGGGCATAATTAGCCTAGCTTAGCATACAGAGTGGGAAACTGCTCCTTTAGCTTGGCTAGGCATTTTACACACCTTGTCCAATTAGGCTGTGAGGCTGGTCCAGGACAATATCTAATACACGTCTGTAACTCACTAAGGAGAAGGTGTGCAAATAACAGCCATGTGGACTTTGGAGAGAGCTAGGTTAACAGTTTCCCCCTGCTACCTATTTTTGTGTTAAGCTAGGCTCATAGCTTAGCATGTCATTGACAATATCATCCACTCAATCTCAAACAAAGTGTTTTTCCCAAAATGTTCCCCAAAAATGACCAAGCTACATCTCTTTAGTTTAATAGTCCACAAGCAGAAATGTAAAAAGAAAAGGTTTGGTGTCATAGTAAGCTAGCCAGGTTTGGTAACCACCATACGTGGACAGAGCAAGCAAGCTCGCTGTCTCCCCATGCTTTCAGTGTTCATGCTAAGCTTGGCTAAATACAAGCTCCGTACTTATTGCACAGACATGAGACTGATATTTATCCTTGTATAATTAGCCCATGCATATATACAAATGATATGAGACAGCTGTAAAGCTCCACTATGTGTTGACCCTTGTTAACATGATTCAGTGGCTCTTGTAAGACATTCACTTCCGTTATTTTTTACGCAGACCAATCACCCGAATAATTGATAGCAATCAGTGTACCATCCCTGGCTGTTTGCCAACAGTAAACAACCGTTAGTCCAGACCAAAGACTGAGTTTATCAAGACATTCCGCTTATTCACCATCCTGCTCGGAGGGTCATGCAGAGGAAGCTGACTCGTCTATCCTTCATCACAAAGGGGAAGTGTGGATGAGCGTGTGGATGTGTGCATGCAGGTCTAAAAAAATAAAAATAAAAATAAAATATATATATATATATATATATATATATATACATATATACACATAGTGAAAGGGCATAACCCCATCTTACTTCTCCATTGAAAAAGCAGAAGATGGTGGCCACCAGCAGACCCTGAAATTCAGAAAATGAGAGAAAGAGAGATGATACACACTGAAATAACTGGTCTTAAGCATCAACAGTCACTTGTTTGTAGGTGATATTTTAAAGCCTAAGGGGCTGTGAAACAGAGGAATTTAAGAGATTAAACTGAATTAATTTTGAGAGCCGATTATTGCTCAAGACGCTCTCTCCAAGCACTGCCTGTGCTGGGACAGCTGAGGATGATCAGATAACACCGCGACAAACATCCAACTGATTTCATCCCCCTCAGATAATTCATGCCTTCCTTCCTGCTGTTCTTCCCTGCGCTACAACATAAACAAAGCCCGGTCAGAGGCCAACGGGAATGCTCGGAATGAAAGTTAAGATGGGGTTTTTTGCCCGGGCAACAGTTCATAATAGTAAAATTAATTTCTCTGGAATTGGAGGAAGGAGCCGTTGACATGTAACCACATTTCACAACAAATGGTACACATGTCACAAGGACAACAGGATGTCATAAATAGTGCAGAGGGACCCTGCCGTACAGCAAACTGTAAACTTTGAATAGCATTCTAAAAATATCCTTTTACACATTTAAAGAGCACGACATAATGTACAGCTGTTTATGTGCTTATAAAATGGAAATGTTCGAGGAAGCTGGCGACAATCGCTCAGCCACAGCTAAAACACATCCCACAGTCTAGCCGGCTGTTTTGTAAGCACAACTCAAACCTTCACGCTGACCACCGTCTCACCTGGTAATGCATCAGTATGTGCATGATGTAGTCGTATATCTCGGAGGACACCCGTCCCCCTGGCTTGTAGGGGAGCAGGACGTACTGGATTCCCAGAAGAGGCACCAGGATGAGGGTGGCCCTCACAGCTTTCATGTAGAGACTAGACTCCGCTTGGTGGGTCACCTTCAGCTTGGTGATGAGCACTCGCACAATGTTCAGTAGAAAGAACAAATTGACCTAGGGGTGGTAGCGGCAAAGAGGACATCAATAAATCGGCATGGTATATACGTATATAATAGATTTTGGTACACCTGGCAGACCCTGACTCTTACCATTTTGAAATGAAACATAAAATAAAAATCCATTCTAAGAAAAACAACACCAAGACCCTTTTTGGGCCTGAAACACTAAGTGCGTGAGTGCTAAGGGACCCGTTTTCTCTGAAGCATGCCCGGCTGTGCTGATTAGGTGAATTCCTAGAATGCAACATAGGCCTGGGGACCAGTGGGTGGATCCTCACAGGAGCAGACGCATTGATTTCGCAAGATAAACGGAATTATGCATGCTATGAAAACATGTCCTGGTTTCAGATCCCCCACAGTGTCCACTCAAAAAAAAGGGAAACACAGACTTTTTTCTTTTTTTTTTTCATTGCGCAATAATAACAGTTAACCAAGAGAAATATGGAACAAATAAGTTATTATTGTGACTGACTTTGCTGTCAGGGAAGAGTCTTACCAAAAGAGCAGCACAGATGGGACCATGGATTATGTAGAGTAGCGACGTTTTGGAGCTAATCCAGCAGCTTCAGTGGAGAAGAGAGGGACAACAGAGATACGTTCACACAACAGTATCAGTGCATCACATGACAGCTGACCCATGATGCAGATCAATGAGTTTAATGAGAAATGAATTAGCATCAACAGCTTAATGGGAGGATTGATTAAAGAAGCTTTCAGCGAGGTTGAATGATTTGTTGACCTTTGCAAGGTACGGATAAACATCAAACAATCTTTATCGTATTTAAAGAATATATTATTATTACTGTCAAATTATGTTGGCCAAATCAGCTGAATCGCTCATTTTAAACACATTTCTAGGCAGGATTTGTTTTCTTGTATTCTTTTATTAAAGTCATATTTATTTTATTAGGCATTCATTTAGTCTATTTTACTACTTATATGATTATAAGCTGTAATATTAACCATAATAGATAATGCACTTGAATGCTTACTTGTCGTTGTAGTAGTAACCTCGAGCAACGGCATGTATGGAAGCCGGAATTAGAGGAAAGCCTGCGAAATAAATAAAAATGAAAAGTTTCAGGTGATTAAACATTAACAAATACAGAGTTACAAATACTAAAAATATTCCATTTCTGCTAATAGATCCCCCGACATTCGACACACTGGCCCTTTGAACCTTGCAGTAACACTTTCTTTAAAGTACAAATGTGGTTTGAAATACTGTACTGTATTTACAGCTCAGCCATGAGAAGGATAACAAACCTTGTTTTCTCCGTGTCAATAAACTAGAATTAAGAGACTGGCTTTTCGACGTCACTCGATAAAATGTGATGGACTTTTTACAGAAGAGAGAGCGACTGCCATCGACACAACACATTATCCTGACTTACCCCAGCCTAAAAGATAGTACCACATCAGGTGCTGCTTCTCAGCAAACACAGCCACCACGATGAGAGTGTGCAGGTAGATTCCCTCGCACAGCATCCAGAAGTAATTGCAGCCAAACAGGTAGAGATGAATGAACTGGGACACTTTACAGCTCGTCTGAAGAGGAAAGAAAATGCACACGTAATCAATGCGGCTGCTTAACTCTGCTTCTGCTATTTTTCCTGTGAAATAAATAAATACAAATAAATGGAAATGCACCTTTCACCCTGATTTATGATTACATATTTAACATAGGATCATAAAAGGAACAGATCAAATTAAATAAGTAGAAATTTATTATATGAATGCAAAAATAATAACAAAAACTACAACTAAATAGATAAACTCACTGGATTCCTCTGCACCAGCTCCTGATTGTTTGCCACCGCTGTCAACCAAATGATAGTGATCACAGAGTTCAAAACAAAAGAGAAGAAGAGGTTTTTGTGAAGCGTGATCCTTTGGCAACTTAAACTCCTGCAAGGAGACAAAAGGCGACATTAAATCACGGCGCTGTTCATTTATGCAGGCGATGGGACACATCGGCCCGTAAACTGAGCCGAAGATGAGGTTTGTTGACTCACTTGAAATGGAAGAATATCCCGAGGGAGACCAAGAGGGAGGTCAGTGACAGGCCATGTCCTATGAGAGCCAAGTAGAAAAGATTCATTGCAGTCTGGATGGAAAAAGAAATAGACACAGATTAGATTATCTGGACCTCCTAATGGACTGTCATGTTGTGAGACGATACTAATGTGCTCTTGAAGAGGATTCACATCCTTTACTCCTACAGAAATGTATGTAAGGATGACATTACAATCATGTTAAACTATCATTTAAGTTCATTAAACGTCATTAGTTACTGACAGATTTTGTTATGGATATTCATGGTCACCGGAGAATAATATAATTATCATGGGGACCCCTCATCCTTTCATTAAGTGCCACCCCATTGACCAACATGTCCCACTGGTCAACACTCTGTTCCACACCGAGGTACAATATATACATCAATGGCTGTGAATGATTGTGGTCTCTAGAGGATGACTGCTGGATGTTTTAACTGCCTGACCTTTCTGCAAGCTAGAAGCTATATGTGTTATAATGTGTGCATAGATTGCCATTAAAATTTGCGGGGAACCCAGAGGACAAACTTTGCGATTTTGTCTCATTGCTTCAATAACCACTTTTTGTGTTCTGTGTTTTGGTTCTCCCTCCCAAACTGCACATTTAAAGAATCATTCCAGTACATTTCAGCCAACATGAGCATGACACTTGTGTATAATTGCGTAATATATGCATGTAGTGCCGTTTCATAAAGTGACCTACCACTCTGCCTTCATTGGTGTGTAGATTGCAGCGGGTGTAGTTGGTCCATGTCCGGTTGCTCTCTGGATGCAGGAACCAAAGACCACTGTCGGTGCAGATCTTTGTAACTATCTCTGCAGGTAAATAATGATACAAAGATGAAGACAAACCACCCTCCACTGAAAGCTTTGATATACTACAATCCTGTAGGGTGCTTCTTAGAGGATATTTCTTGGTGTATATTATTTGCTGCTAAGCAGGTGGGGAAACCTAGGGCTAAGTCAAGAAGAAGGTCCTCTTGGGCACACAACCAAACATTAATACACATGGAACTACAGAGAGCAGTGATTACAGGGACTGAATCTCATCATTCATCTGCATATCCTGTTGAAGGATGTGCTGTACTGAAGGTTTTAGCTCAGGATATTTCAGCAATTACAAATAATTTACTCTTATAAACACAATCATGCATAGACACTTCACACATGGAAACACAATTAATCAATCTCTATAAAAGCTTTTTTTCTTTCATAAATATGTGGATGTTTTTGTATTCAGTCAGAGCAAGTGATGTATTACAACGAGCAAAGTGCATAGCAAGTCACAGATATGGAGCGACCGTTGACATTTATCTTGTATAATAATGAGTATGAAGTGTCAGAAAGTCCACTAACGGCGGAACGGTATAACAAACACAAGACTTTTACATTGTTACGCTTGTTACGTAACATTATTTAATAAAATCCGCTAAGTTGTAATTACTGTAGATACGTTGTTACGTTACGTTGTATTACAATAACATAAACCATGAATTTTCTTCTTTTTTTTCTTCATTGATTTTGCTTAAACCTAACCAGTGCTTTCACAGCGTTAACCGCGTGTCATTGTGCTTTTCTGCAAGCGTGATACGAGGCTGATATGAAACGTATTCAGGACACATTTGTTTGGTTTCGGAAACGTCGACATTCACCGTATCCCGTGGTTTGCTGAAACGTACGATGCCAACATTTTCTCTGGCGATTAGGTTAAGGATTGCTGCTGTCTGTATTTACTTGTACCCATGAAGACTTATATTTCATGGTCATTTTTTTCAGCTGTTTCTTATCGATAGAAGTAACATCAAGGGAAGCATGGGATCAAGCATTTTTGTAACTTGATCCAAAGTAAAAGTCAGAATATCTCCGTCTCTGCTGCTTCTATTTTGACTATTATTTCATTGATCCGTCTATGTAAGGTCCCCCAACTTTATGGAAGTGCATAAATTAATTGCTGGTGTAACACTTTCAATTACAAACCAAACATCCTTGTCGCAGATTGTTACCTGAAGGATCAAAATCCTGGAAGTAGTCGGGGCAGTGCTGCTCTGAGTTCACACCCGCATTGGTGTCGTCCCAACACAGCCAGCCATCCCAAGTGCGATTACACATGGGCTCTGAAATCACAGGAAAGGACCTTTTTTCAGATATATATTATCAATAAATATAAGAATATAATATTTTTGTCCAAATTATTTAGCACAGAAATCATATTACTAGTATATGCTATTATCCAGACTAATGGACGTTGTCCTACTACACTAAGCCCCAAAAATACTAATGCAGAGCAGTGTATTCCAATTACTCTTGACAGCTGTAAAGTTCAGACACATGAAACATAACGAGCTACCTTCTCTGCCTTGGGTATCGTCCTTCATTATCTTTTGATAGCACTCAAACTGCGCTGTAACTATCTTGTTCCTGGTAACTCCTATGTCATGGTAGACGTGGGTTGGGTGCTGCTGCTGGTGGGTTTCATTCACCTCCAGGCTTGCCGTCACAAAAATCTGCAAGGAAGGTGAGACATGGTGAATAAATCTTTTCGGTTCGGATTTCAAACAAAGGACGTTTGCCCAAATAGGTCCTGGCTGGTGTCTCACTGAAGACACATGCATGAGCACCACGGAACTGCCGCATTCAGCAGATAAAAATGTTAGTTCAAAGTCTATGACCACCGAGCTTCTTTCCAGAAAAAAAAAAAAGTGTTTGCGTGCGAGCACATGTCTGGACCCAATTTCGTCTGTGTATTCTGACTCTATGGGACTGTCCATTACATCCTACTTAGAACGCCAGGAAAGGGAGTCCAATATACACAAACTTCCATTAAATCCATTTTTGCTTCATGGAAAATATGACATCTTTGCAGAAGTATTGCCAAAGAGAAAATATCCAGCTTATTTATCACACGGCAGATACTAACCTGAAGCAGCTTTTTAATACTTCACAAAATCCCCAACATAAACTGAAACTGAAATAAGTCTAAATAAGTCAAATTAAGTCAGAGTTGAATAGTAACCCATTGCATTCCATACAACATACAATTGACTTCAACTATATAATCTATACAGTTTCTACTACCTAAGTATTTGCGTTGCAACCGAATGAGATGTTACAATAAACATCTCCAAAAATATCACGGTATTACAAAATAAAAAGTAAAGATAGAAAATATCAATAATGGTTATCATGGTATACTGCAATACCGGTATACCAATGCAACTCAACTAAGCATAGACAAATGTGATTTATTGACAATGGTACATTTATTAAATGGGGTATATTTTGTGCATGCATGTTCTCAGTATTTGCCTGATTGCATGCAGGCGGTCCTACCTTTGTTAGATTACACAGCAGTACGAGTGCCACCATCACATTCCGCACAATGTTATCCATCTTCCTTTTGGCCATGTCAAAGCTGGTCGATGATTTAACAGCTGCAGATCTGGAACGGAGAATAAAATATGAAGTCATTAAAGCAAAAAAATAAAAAATAAAAGGCCACTTCATAACACTCCTTATCTCTCCCACTGTTGATAAGTGTCTCACTCACTGGTTCTAATCCAATGAAATGTTGCTTCTGTATTTGCCTTCGCAGACAATTAATCCAGAACCCATTAGGACAGCTCTTAGAGGGCGAAGCCCATACAATAGAGAACATAAGATCACTGCCCACACACAGCTTATTTACAACATACAGATTTGTCTGGTTGCTGTTTTTGAAACGGTCAAGATTCAAGTTGTAACGTTCAAAATAATCTTAGTGGGAACGGCAAGCAGCAAGCGGGTCAGCAAGTTAACATTTTATAATAATACATTTTCATCAATTTTTAAATGTTTCGGCATTGGTTAGGGGGTGTATTACACATTTTGTTTTTGTAAAAGGTGACGCTGGTGTCTCATCAAAGCAGAATCCCAGAAAGTAGTTTGGGGCAAAGGTGCAGGCCGCTGGGATTTTATGTCACGGCTGCTGCATAGCAGATGAGACAAAATTCAAATGGGAAAAATACACCCCCCCCCCCCCCCCCCCCCCCGGTCATTCAAATCTGCTGTTATCTTTACCATAAATGTATCACAGCACAAGCTAAGAGTTCCATAATGGCAACCAAGGTATCCAGAAACAGGCAGTAAGCACCGTTAGAATACCTCGTACAAATCACAGGTTCATTGCTTTTAGCAGAAACAACAAGAGACAAGGAGGGATGGGAGAGACCGAGAGAGAACCTGAACTCAGGATGACATACATGTAGGTACATGGCCTTCAGGAGTCGATTGCATCTCTTTCAGAAGTGAAATTTAATAAAGTCTTTTATACCCCAAAGGAACTAGGTCATGACTTGTATTTGGAACATCTCAAGTCTAATTAAATCCGGTGGAATGGAACAGCTAGACAAACTCTGCAACAGGAAATTAGTAAAATGCATTGAAGAGGCAAGCATTCACAAGATGCAGGGCCTAAGCCCTTTGTTTTCTATAACTGATGAGAAATCAAGTTGTTTTTGTGCCATAAACTGTATTGTTATAATCCTGTGTGTCCAATAACTTCAATTTATCAAGTTATTGGTCACACCCAGCTGATATGCGCCTATCCCAGAATGTTTGGAAACCTGGAAACATGTATATAAAAAGGTGTAGAATTGGATTTTCAAACAGATATCGGTATTGTTCGGAGCTTTTTGACATTTAAAATAAAAGCCAAGACTAAAATGTCAGCCCAGTTGCGAGGAAAAAATAATGTTTGCATGTTATGCGTCTGCAAACCGCCCATTCACTGAAGGTGGACTTTTCCATTCGGCGAGAGCAAGTGACGTATCACAACGAGCGACGCGCAGCACAAGTGGTGTATTATATGGAGCGACCGTTATTGACAGTTACGTGGTATGAAAGTTGAGTGGTATAATATTGAGAAAGAGAGAAAAAAAATCCACTTAGGTCGGGTGGGAATGGTGGTGGATGGGTCACAGAAACACAGGACGCCACTGTTTGTGTTCAATGTGAACCAATAGTAAACGTTGAGTTCACACCTCGAAAGTAAGGTAAGAAAGTCAATTAAGGCTTTTTGTTACTTATCATGATCTTTTTTTGTAACCTTAAAAGGTGTTTGGTGAGGTTGTCTGAGGTACTTATCCATAGTCAGTGTTACAGTCGGCAAAATGTTGTAAATGTATATTGATTTCATTAGGAGGGCTTTTCCTTTAGGTGCTTAAAATACATTTTGTGCTGCCCCCATCCACAGTATCACATTACTTTGCACCCTTGTTGGTACTCCTGTCCGCTTCTTCAAACTAGGGCATGCCGACCGCCGTATACTGTCCTCACTACGGATAAGTACCTCATACAACCCCACTTCAAAACACCGGACCTATCGCTTTACCAGGTAGTTTGGTTGCCTAATCCTAACTACGTTTCACAGTGTTAACCATGTGGCATTGTGTGATTCTGCAAGCCAATACGAGGCTGAGCGTATTTATGAAACACACTTTTGGTTCAGAAACGTCAACATTCAACAAATCCGGAGGTTTGCAGAAACGTACCATGCCAAAAAAAAGTGTCCGACTGACTGGGTTCAAAAAACTGACTGGGTTTATAAAACTTACTTTTTATATATAAAGTAGTTGAAATAAATACTTTTAAATGGTACAAATTATGCAATAATAAAGCAGCTTCAACTTTGCTTCAAGCTGGGATATTCATTGTTTGGTTGCCAGAACACATTTAGTACAGTCTTGCAACACACTGACGATGGAGGCAAAGCAGGGGGCTGTCGGGCAGCACATCACTGAGAGATTTGACCCAGCTGATTCTTACAAGTCTCCCTGCAGCTCTGTCACCAGAGGGACTGGCCCAGTGCCTCCTCAAGTCTGCTCAGAGTTAAAACGGCATTACCCCGGGGAGAGGAGAAGAGGAGGAGGAGGAGGAGGAAGGGCTTACTGAAAGTGGGATTGTAAAACATTATAGTGATGTGCAAATTAGAAACAGCCAGGAAAAGATCAGCTGCTCTCTCACACATGCACGCGAACACACACAAATGCACACACAGATATACACACAGCGCTGCGCTTTGCCAAGTTCCCCAGCTGTTTCTTGGCAAAGGCTGTTTTTCATACATTAGCAGACTGATACAGAGGATATATCTTGTCAGATGGCAGCACTGAACACACGTTGCAGAATGATTTTCCAATAGCTGCTCAAATGTTAGTCATAGCTAGTTGTGCTCTGTTTCAAATTAGATTTTTCTTTTGGCAATTACTTGTTTTGTTTTTTGTTCATATACTGTACATACTAAAGACGACCGTGAAGAAAAATAACCTGGCCCCTCCCATTTGTCATGGTGGCAAATTTCCAGCATGAAATTTTGTACACTTCTGCCATAAAAGCCTTGTTTATGATGGGAAAAAAAGACTAGGTTTTGAACTATTGAACAGCCAATATAGATGATCATGATGTACACCATTCGTGTAAATGAATGATAAAACCTTGGGTAAATAATTTCAAGTCTTAAATACCTTCTGGACATTATTCTTTTTCAGATCTTTGGGAAACCACTTTTCAAAAAGCTATTCTTGGGTCTCCAAACCAAATTACTCTGGTTATAACTGAGAAACAGGGTTTTAATTCTATGTGTTCTAAACCTTGTCTCCCACAGTCATACAATATGCACCTAATTTATAATCAACATGTTCACTAGCAACATTCAGTTCCAGTACAGGAAGCAGTGGAATGTCCCAGCCCAGCCACAACAAGCTGTAATCTAACATGACCATAATGTTTCCCGATACCTTAAAGCTGTATTCCAATATGTCTGGCCACTAGGGGGCAGCGGAACTCCAAAACCAGCCGACAGACATATAATTCCATGATAAAACTGTTATTGCTTATAGCAACATTGACATCCCAATTAACCTCTGCTCTTGGCTACCAGACTAATCAAAGGTCAATATTCACTGGACTTTCAGCTCTGGTTTGTTCTCCATGAACTACTGAGAAAAATATGTTGGTCTTAGATTCTGAACATGCAATATGCATCTTTACAAACGGTAAAATGAACATCTGTCTTGTTATGTAGTTTGTTGGATGGGAATATTCCGCTAATCTAAAATGTATAACACTAACAGTAAGGTGTTTTCAATGACTTAGGAGGCCTTGGATTTATATGACCTGACACACCGGATGCTTTGTTCCAAGGAATCATCCGAATTCTTCATTGGAAACTGTTTGGAAAAGGCCAGGCACTTTCAAAACATACTCGGTCAGTGTTGGATGAAACATTCGTCAATCAAACCCTCAAACTCTTGCCGAAGCCAGTCCAGACAAGAGAGGAAATATCTTTTCCATCGAGGAAAATGTCAATGTATGTTTTTTTTGCTTTTCTTTCAACTCAGAAATACTCTGCAGTACCGATATAACTGATGCTATTGACGCTAACCTCTTTAGGAGTCGCCATTGATGTTTTGAACGAACAGTCGGTGTTGCGTCACACACACCTAAACCACGCCCTGACCTCATGATATCGCCCAAATCCAACTGCGGTGCAAGGTAATGTATATAGGCCACTGCAAGACTTTTTCGTCTTGTGTTTCAGGAGTTGAAGTCATCCTGCATTTGCTGCAATCTAAAAATTCACAGTGTTTCTCGTGGTCCAGAACGGAAGCTAGATTTGTCGTTTTTACGAAAAAGTTATGAGAAAAAAGCTATAACTAGAGCCTATGTCTAAAAATAAAGTGATCTGTTGCCTTTACTTTTCGCAGCTCCTTGGAAGCATAAAATACTATTTTAATATCTCAAGTTGTATATCACATAAAAACTCGTACATTTTGTAATAGCTAGTCACACACAAGCTAATGGTAATCAAAATGTCACCCATAACTGTTTACTACCACGATGCAGATGTACAGTAGGCACCCATCAGTAGCATTGTTCTGGAGTAAATATAAAGAAAAGAATGAACAGATAAATGAATGATGGTCCACAAGACCAAAAACTCTGAAAATATCTCCTGATAAAAACAAAAACATATTTCATGAAAACCTTGCTAATTTCAACTCAAAGCTAAGAGAGCAAACCTCTACAGAGGCACAACACTTGATTATTGATCCGTTTGGGTCAACTTCATCCAACCGCAAACCGGTGACAACTGTGGGTGGTCCACTATTATCTCTAGTACCTCAAGAGTGTTTCGCAGAAGTGGTTAGTCATGTACTCTTTGCACAAGAGCTGACATCACCTACATCTGTCAGCATGCAGAAAGATACCTGGAAAAACAATCCATGCATAACAGCTGCTGTCTTCTCGCCCAGTGCCAGAGCTCAGCCTGTACTTATCAACTCCCACTGTCCCCGCAGGGATGTTGTGCTGTGCTGTAAACATCCTTCTGCCCTCACAGGATGTTTGGCGCCTCATACTCCAAGTTCCACCCAGTGGCATTCGGATGTCCATTAGGCTGGT